CCTGAGTGACTCCATGTTGTGCAGGACAGCAGTCCTCAGGCTGTGCCTGCCCTGAGTGACTTCAGTGTATTCAACAGTGATTCTAGGCTGGGTCTAACCCTTTGTTTCTAATTTGTAAAGCACTAATTTGCCATTAGATACCCCATTTTGATTTGTGCACCAAGGTGGAATAAATCCACACCTTGATTGTTTAAGTATACTACCACCATCTGCCTGGCACAACCACAAGGCACAAAAGATAAATTACTTGCATAGTAGGAATGACCACCTGTAAACTTGCCAGATTAATCAAAGTTCACAGATGCATGGACACATCAAACTGATGTTTGAAAACCCAGGCCCACCAGCCTATAACACAGGAGACCGCCAATTGATATAGATCCCCAGCAATACCCTCATTCAGGGCCCTTAAAGGAGGAGCATTGCCGTGACTGAACACAGCGCTACCCTAATTCTGTCACCTGGTCACTCATCCCTAGCCTTGCCCAGGAAAATTGCCACAGCAACGACCCTCTGAATTTCTGTCCTCAGGCTTTAGCAGAATGTGGTTTCTCCTGCCTGTGACAACCATGCAGGGCTGACTCCAAGCTTGCTTCTCAGGCTGACACTCTGGAACGCTGACTGACGTCTGAACCTTGGCCTAGCTTAAGTTCCTGTGCTTTGCCACTTCTGTGCTCTGAACAAGTTCAGGGCTGGTAATTTATCTGCCTTTGGTCTTAGTTCAGCCTCCTGACCCCTGTGGCTGCCTTAACCCTTTCTTTGTCTTTCTATAATTGTGTGTGTGTGTGATTGTTACATGTTACAGGCATTAGAAAGTAAGTCAGGTGCAGTGGCCATGCCTGTAATTGTGCGCCTCAGGAGGCTGAGGCAGGAGGATCTCAAGTTCAAGGCCAGCCTCAGAAACTTAGTGAGGTCCTAAGCAACTTAGGAAAATCCTGTCTCAAGATAAAAATAAAATAAAATAAAAAGGGCTGGGGATGTGTCTCAGTGGTTAGGTACCCTTTGGTTCAATATCTGATACCAAAAAAGAAAAAAAAAATAGGAAGAAATTATGAGTGTTACAGATGTTGGAAGGTAAGATTAGAATACAAGAACTTGTGTTTGCCCAGATTGACAACCAGGTGACCTGTGAGTGTAATGCTGATTTGGGGGACCCCAAAAGACCACCAGGGGCTGAATCCAAAGCAAGCACACAAGAGTGTTTATTGCAAGCTCGCGCCTGGACTCACAACCGTTTTCAATGCAGCGGTTCGGAGGAGTGAGTCCCTGTCCTTTGTTCAGTGAGATTTTATAGGTTTTGGGGGATACTCTAAGCATCACACATACTGCGGGGAAAATCAAACAACAGCTCTTAGCATTGATTAGTACATTCATTGGCGGGAACAAATTGGGTAGAGGTGATTGGTCAGTACAGGAGGTGGATTCATTTGAAGTGATTGTTTTAATCTGTGAGGGGTGTGCATGCTACACTACATGGTTTCCTAATGCGTTATCCATCACTGAGATTACTGGGGGGGTCACCTGGCATCCCAGGTATTTTCCCTGTCTCATGCTGATTGGTGGTTGCTAGGGGGTTGCTATGGGTCCTCACAGTCAGGCATCAGGCCTCACACATTCTTTGGTGTTTCCAGGAACTAGCTGAAATGAGTCAGGGACACCTGGCGCCACAGATCTCTCCTGTTATTTACAGACAAACAACTCAGCAGGGTGGCTAGTGCCTAGGAAAGCCCTGTGGGTTTTTCCAAGGACAAGGGTCACCCTCTTCCCTTTGGACAGGCCTTGAGGTAGAGGATGGTTTATTTATTTTTTCAAAAATGGAGTCACATCAGTTTTCTCATGAGTATTCAGGGAACTGCCCCCATCAAAATGGTGCAGCCTGTGGATTCATTGTTACTCAGTAAGTTCTGACGTTGTGGAAAGACACAGGTCTGGGGTCTACGTGAACAGCAGAGCTCAAACCCAGCTCCCTCACTGTTGGGTCTGGGGACAGAGCACAGAGCCCTGACTGCAGCCAGGATGGAAACCCTGTTCCACAGCACAGTTCCCGTGTCCTCACCTGGGCCCAGGATCTGCTTCCAAAGGCTGCACTTGGCACCCAGGCCCCGGACCTGACAGCAGTACCCACTGCCCGATGTCCCCCGTCCCCAGCCCCCGATCTTGGGGGACAGTGCCAGCCTTCTGGAGGAAGCCAGGGAAGGGGTTCCCTGTGCTGTCCCCTCCCCTTGTTACAAGAGAGGCCACTACCCCTGTGAGTGGAGTGGGATCTGTGGCACTCTGCCGCCCCGTCATATCCCCTGCCAAGGCCCCGTGACACACCCAGCTGCAAAGAGCATGTGACCAGGCTGCCGCCCTGGCCCCTCTAGAAAGCAGCAGCTCCGGGGGACTGGTGGCAGGACTGTATTGTCCCCTCTGCCATCAGTGTGGGGCCGGGAGGGCCCAGGCGGTTACTGGATACATTTCAGGAGTGGCTGCGTGCTGCAGACCTGGGCAAATCTGGAGTTCTCTCCATGGGGCCCAAGGGCAGGGCCAAGTGCCCTTGCTGTGGCCCAGAGCCAGGACCCTGGGCAGCTGGCTGTGGCCCCTGTGGTTGTGTCCCAGGCCAGGACCACGTGGACGGGCAGATCCTGGGCCAGCTGCGCACCCTGACAGAGGAGGAAGAGGCAGAGGAGGGTGGGGCCAGCTCGCCCCCAGGACCTGTCTTCCCTGGGATGGGCTCTGAGGAACTGCGGCTGGCCTCTTTCCACGACTGGCCACCGACTGCTGGGGTTCACCCTGAGGCACTGGCTGCCGCTGGCTTCTTCCACACAGGTGAGTCCTGGGGGTCTTTGGGTCTCTGCCAGCCCCAGGCTGGGCCACCCCCACAGGGAGTGCTGGCCCACCAAGGGGGTGACTGCACCCCTTCCATGGCTCCCTCCTCACACCTGCCCTCCCAGGAGTCCGTCAGAACCTGAGGTTCTGGGGAGGGCTTGCTCTGCCCTGCAGCATCAAAGACTGTGAGGCGCCTGGCTATGGCCACACCTGGCCAGGTAGGCCTGCAGGCACCCAGGCTCCTCAGAGGTTCCCACTGCTCCAGAGCTCCAGCACCCTTGGCAATAAGAGTGACCCGTACCCTTTATTCCAGGGCAATAGAGGCTTAGAGGACAAAATCGGGAAGTGGCCCATGCAGGTAGTGGTCATCCATTCTCAGCTTGTGGGAAATTTCCGCAGGCCGGCACCAGGGCCCAAGTCCACGAGTTTCCCGAAGTGCCAGTTTTCCTCCAGGCATGGGCCACTTCTATGGCTCCAGCTGCACCTCGCCTGAAACCGGAGCTGAGTGCTCAGCTCCGGTTCAGCCTCAGGTCTGCCCCTCCCCAGATGAGGACAGCCAGCAGGCTCCACGGGGGCTTGGTTAGTGGGGGCCCAGCCAGGGTCACTGTCACAGGTGGGGTTGCAGGACCTGGGTCCTTCCTTACCTGAGTGCTGTCCAGTAAGAGGCCAAACTGACTTAAGGGAGTTGGACCCTGGGCGGGAAGGATCAGTGTTGGGACAATCACCTGAGAAGGGGCCTCCTGAGGTCAGCAGGTAGAGGTGGGGGAGGCCCTGGGGCCACGTTTGTTGGATATACCTGCAGAAGCCCCATGTGGTCTCTGCAGCGGATGCCGCAAGGCTCATCTGCCCATAGTGAGGGGAGTGGCCAGCAGGGGTAGGCGAGATACACATGGGCCCCTGCAACCAAGACTGGCACCAGACTGGCATTTAAGGGGCTGGCCCCCTTCCTCCTGCCACTGGGAATCTTTCCTGGCTGCTGGGGTTCCCTGACTCTCCCAGGCCACAGCTATGGTGGGCCGTCCCCCAGCCAGTCCCTCTGTGAACAATGTGGATGCCAGCTCAACTCTTTCCTGAATGCTCTGGCCTCCTGACAGTCACCCCAGGCATTGTCCTCTAGAGGTACCCATGGAATAACAGTAGAGCCCTGGGGCACCCTGCCCCTTCTTGTTAACTTCCTGGCAGAAAAGACCACTGGGGGCCCCAAGCCCCACCTAAGTTTCACAGGGTTACCAGGTGGGAGGGATCCTGGTCAAGTGCCGGGCTGGGGCCAGCATTTCTCCAACCCCCAGGCCAGCAGGACAAAGTAAGGTGCTTCTTCTGCTACGGGGGTCTGCAGAGCTGGGAGTGCGGGGACGATCCCTGGACCGAGCACGCCAAGTGGTTCCCCAGGTAACACCCTATGGGGAGTCCAGGTCTGATGACAGGGTCAGGGTGGGAAGGACCTCAACGAACTGTGTCCAGCCAAGACAAGGACTGGCCCCAGCTCCTCATCTCCTCCAGTCCCAGGGCACGGGTACCCTGGAAGGGTGGCCGACAGCCAATTTTTCACAGTAGAGCCTGTCTGGAAGGGCTACTGGGGCAGAAATTCTCCCACTTGTGCTCCTCCGAGCCGGTCTCCCAGGCTGACGTCCCAGCAAGCGCCCGACTGGCAAGAATGCCGACTGCCTGCTACAGAGCACGGTGGGACTGTCAGGAACAGAAAGCACAGCCCTGGCCCCAAGAGGCTCCTCGGGTTGGGCTTGACAGTGGCGCTCCAACAGTCTGTCCCTGACCTGGCTCAAACTTACTTCAGGTGCCAATTCCTGCTCCGCTCAAAAGGAAGGGGCTTTGTCCGCAGTGTCCAGGAGGCCTACTCCCCGCTGCTCGGCTCCTGGGTAAATTCAGTCTCTCCCTGGGGCTGGGTGGGTGGGGATCCTCTGCCCCACTCCCTCAGGGCACGGGTGTTCTCCTACAGGACCAGTGGGAGGAACCAGAAGACACCGCCCCCTCAGGTGAGAGCTGACCTGTGGCCCAAGCTGCTCCCAGCACCCACAGCCTGTGGTGTGGCAAGGCTAAAGGTGACCCTACCCTGCCGGACAGGTGTGTCCAGGGCTCTACATGAGGCCATGGCTTCCCCTTGCCGCCATGGAGCAGAAGGCATTGGCCCAGCCCAGGTGCCCATGGGGCAGGGGTGTGAGGGTCTCCAGACCCTGTCCCTTCTACTGGCCACCTCTGGTCACAGGCAAGTAGTTTTGTCTGAGCCTCAGTGCTCTGAGCTGTGACATGAGGACAGCCTTAGCCTCTTTGGGTCCATGGGATGCTCTGGTGCATGGCATGGTGCACTGCATGGTGCACCAGAGTGCTCCGTCCATGGCGATCATGGTGATGAATTCCCGGTCCTCCCCTCTGACAGGAGTGCCCTCTAGGAACTCCCCAGCCTAAGAGTGACCCTTCACTGTGCCTCATCCAAACCCAGACCCCACCTAGGTGTTGGCCAAGCATAGTAGGAGACCACTGGCCTTTCTCCAGGATCCTGAGGCCCTAGCCCCACCTGCTCTCTGCCTTGCAGATGCCAGGGGTGGCCAGGAGTGGTCAGAGAGGAGCCAGTGCCCAGATGTGTCTACCAGCATGTCCTCATCACAGCTAGTGGCCAACCTGCTCCAGGAAGAAAATGGGGACCAAGCGACGAGGGCCAGAGGTACCTCCAGCCCTCTGGACACTATCTTCCCCTCCTGTCCCTTCCTTGCTTATCCCTCTGGACACTGCCTGCCTCCACCTCACTAAGGGGCTGGACAGGCAAAGCGTCCAAATTCTTGGTGGCCCCTTCAGAAAGTCTCTGGCCTCAGATTCATCACTCTTGAGAGTAGCAAGGTCACTCCAGAGTCAGGCTTTCTGCTCCCCTGATCAGAACTGGACTTCTTTGGCTACTGGACCCCTTGGGGGCTAGGCCTCAAGCCCATTCCGAACTGCCCACAGCTCCTGTCCATGAGGGCCCTGAGCTGCTCATGCCCAGAAGAGAGGCCCAGCCTGAAGGTGCCAGCGAGCCAGGTGCAACCCGGGTCCTCTGGGATGGGGGCTGGGTGGGGAGGGGGGGACAGAGGATTCCTGTGGGGCTGGTCCATCCCAGGCCTCCTGGTCTCAGGCCCAGACATCCAGACTGCAGTCAGCCATAGAGGGTGGGGCTCCTGTCACAGGTCTGTCTCCCAGGGAGCCAGTCCTGAAGGTGCTGGGGGTGGGTTCTGAGCCTCCAGGAGCCAGCGACATGCAGGAGCAGCTGCAGCGGCTGCGGGAGGAGAGGAGGTGCAAGGTGTGCCTGGACAGAGCCGTGTCCGTGGTCTTCGTGCCCTGCGGCCACCTCGTCTGTGCAGAGTGCGCCCCCAGCCTGCAGCTGTGTCCCATCTGCAGAGCAGCCATCCGCAGCTGTGTACGCACCTTCCTATCTTGACCAGGTGAGTCCAAGCAGCCAAGTGCCCTCCTGCCCTCCTGCAGCCAAGCAGCAGCAGCCCGGGGACAGCCTCATACAGCTTTTCTCGCCCTCTACTTCCCTTGACACCAACCTTATTTTGGTTCCTCAACTCTTGTTCTGAATCCTTCCTAACAAAACAGTAGGGCTGGGGCAGGGGTGATGGCACCCAGGGGGCAGACGAAGAGGGGGCAGCTTTGTAGGCGTGTAGGGGAAGCAGGGAGGGCTGGACGGGCCTGCTAGAGCTCAAGGCCCTGACCGGCCGGGCCGGGTAGAAACACAGGGGGGATGTACACGAGCCTCACTTAAGTGGAGCATATGGGGGCTTCTGATCCTTGCTGCATGTGCTGAGGGACCCTCAGGCCCCAACTTTCTGGTGGAACAAAGTGGCAAGTCAGGGCACTGCCGGGTTCTGAGGCCCCTGGCTCCGGGGACAAGCCCGACAGGACTTGGATTCCTCCAAGCCTCTGTCTCTCCCTCCAGATGCTGTGGTGGGCCAGATGGGCTGCCCAGTGAGCACCCACCCACCTCACCTGTCGCAGGCCATGCAACAGGTCTGCTGAGGATGCTGTGACTACCACTGACCAGCCAGGATGGAAGAGCCTGCGTGGGCTCGGCGGCTTCACTGTCACTGTGAGGGTATTTCTGCGGATAAATAAAGCAAGGATTTCCCATGCATGGTGTTCAGCCCAGAATTGCTCCTGGACCCTGGCCACTGCCTCCCCCCACACTCTGCCCCTCTCCAGGCCTCTGCCTCTTCTTGCCAGCAGGGCAGCACTTGCCCAGGGTTCAGCCCACCCAATCCACTTCCCAGCTCTTCCCCACCTGAGGGCACTGACTCCCTCCCCTCCCCTGTCTGGTCCTTTCCATGGACTTTCAGAGTGCTCTGGCCTCTAGCACCTCGCCACCCTGCTGCAGTTATCAGCCTGGTGTCTTAGGGAAGATTGGGCCAGATGATGTGTCCATCCACTTTACCTACAGTGTGCACCTAAGGCATTCTCCAGGTTCTTGTCCAGACCCCTCTTTGTGGTGCTACCCACTTGTCACAAGGAAGAGTGTCATCCTCTGCAGTGGCCCCAGGCTGAGGCCCCTCCATCAGCCTCAAGCCTGGGGCAGGGCTTTGCCTGGGTGAGAGTATGTGGCCAGGGCAGTAAGCAGGGTATACTGGGGCCCTGGCAGCTCGAGGGGGTCAAGTGGCTCACAGGGATTTCCTGGTGAGGCTGCCCTCCTTGTGAGTCCCTGGCCTGGCAGCAGGGGTGCAGCCAGTGGTACAGCTGCACCAGGGCAGGGCACTTGAGGAGGGGGCTCCCGGGAAAGTAGTGCAGGTGGCTGCCAAGGAGCCTGGGAGGTGGCTTCTTGCACTCTCCCCATTTTCTTTGGAGTTTTATTGTGTTTTTTAAAAGGGGAAATTATAAACTCTTGCAGTGAGGCCAGCCCTAGCCACACCCTGCTGCCTGGGCTGGTGTTCAAGGTGAACCTAAGCAGGTGCTGCTGACCACAGAGTGCCTGGGGAGGGGGCCAGGGCCGAGTCCATCCTGATGTGCGTAGTGGAGCCCCCACTAGTGGCCAAGCCATGAATGCAGACAGTGACAGGCACTTCCCTTGCCTCGCTAGCATGGTATGGACCAGTCTTAAAATCCCAGAGCTCTGTGGCCCTCAAGGAGCCCAGACTCCCTGAAGAAAGCTGCAGCAGAGGGGGCAGACAGCCGGAGGGAGGAGGCCTCCTGAGGTCCAGGCAGGTCCACCAGAGTTCCGGAGACCCACCAGAGCCCTGGGGCAGAGCCACCAGGATGTCCTGGAAGCTCCTGTTTAGGACCACATCTTTAATCTCAGCAACCAGCAAAGAGAAAAGCAAGGCAGGGGCAGGCGAGGCTGAAGTTTCTTAAGCACTCAATTCATCAAACAAGCCAGAAAAATTCAGAGATGGAAAGCCAGGCTGGAGGCCACTGTGTGCCTTCTCCGCGGGAAGCAGCTATTCCTCTCTGCTCATTCCCTTTCTCTCCATGTCTTCTGATGGAGGCTCTAACATGATTCCCACGCCACATGAAGCTAGTGTTCAGGAGTGTCTTGGTCCATCTGTGCTGCTATGACAGAATGTCTGAGACTGGGTTATTTATAAAGAACAGAAAGCCATTTATGTTGTGGAGGCAGCAGAGCCGCCCCTCTCCATCTCCCTGGGGGCACTAGTCTCAGGATCCCTTCCAGGGTCTTGCCCTGCAGGGCTTCTACTCCCACACAGCTCTCGCTCAGCCCTGTCCCTCTTCTGCAATCCAGCCCCAGGCATCAATGGCCTGTTGTCCTCTCACATGTCCTTGGGTGCCTCAATTTGGGTGTGTTCAAAGCTGAACTCTGCCCCCAGCTTGTCCTCAGTCCTCCCAGCCTCCTGTGAGTCCATAGCCAGAATCTAACCCTTTCCCTCCCCAGCTCTGGGCCACACTATGGCTGCCTCACCTGTTGCCTGCCCCCATCCTTCCCCAGGTGGCAGTACCAGGGGATGGTGTTGGAACCCTAGGCACCTGCAGAGCACAGCAGAGTTGGACAAAGCACTACCCACCAGTCACCAGCAGTTGCCCCATGCCAGCTACTGGCCTTGCTAGCCCTGGAGACACAGAAAGCCAACACCACCCTTGCCAGCCAGGGAAGGGCTGCCTGATCCCCAGGAACAGAGGCAGCCACTCAGTGCATGTCTGTGAGTGCCTGCTTCCCCATGTCTTGCCCTGCAGCTCCCCACAACTCAGACTTCTTTTGGGATCCTCTGGTCTGAGGAATGTCACTCCAACCAGGCTCCAGTCCTGGAACTTAGAGCCTATTTGACACCTTCCATTCCATTGTTTAGAAGTGAACATGTGGCCCTAGCTGGTCCACTCAGTGTGACACTGGGGCCTAGTGTGGATGCTTGTACTCAGCCACTTTCTGCTGAATGTGAATGACAGCGTTTGCAGCCTCAGGAGCTGCTGGAAGCATTTTAGGACCTTAGGGTGAAGATGAGACTACAGACCACAGACACAGAGAGAAGATTTGTTCTCAGAAATATTGTTGAGCTACTGGATCAAGTCTCACCTGAGATCCAACTTTCCTCTCAACTTTTCATCACTTAGGTCATAAATTCCCTTGGTTGTTTAAGCAGTTTGGGGTTGGGTTTCTGTCCTAACAACTGGACTCAAGAAAAATTCCCATCTCAGATAGGCATGGAGGGGCTAAGGCATGGAGGGGCTAAGGCAGGGGAGTTCGCGAGTCTTTGCTGACATGGCTGGGACCTGAGCCACCAGGCCTGCCATCTGAGGAGTTGGCCTAGCCTCAACACATTTTTAGCCACTGTGACCAAGTGTAATTCAGCACAGCTGCAGGCTCCCTGGGGGCTTGGATGGAAGGGTAGCACAGGATTGTCCAGGGACTTGTCAAGCTGTGCTTGAATAGTGAAGCATGGCCTCTGGTCAGTGGGGCTGCACCCTCCCACATCTTCCATTTCCTTCTGTCCTGGGCCCTGGTCCTCCATGCACAACATGCAGGCAATGGCAGGGGTCATATGGGCTGGAGTCAGCCAGGCCCTTCTCCGGTAAGGTCAGGGGCTGGAATGTGGCAGCCTCTGGAGGCGCTTCTCTCCACAGGCAGGTGAAACTGTTCAGGGAAGACCTGGTGGTGGAAGATGATCAACAAAGAAAAAATCAGGCAGAGAAAAACAGCCTTCTACGGGGATGGGGTATAAAATGACCAACACACCTCGAGGGAGTGAAAATCCACCCACGGTGGTGACTCATCCTGGCAGCATGCAGCAGAAGAGGCTGAAAGACACAGGCTTTCCCACACCAGGACATTTGGTACAATGCTGTGGAACATTTTGTTGGAATCTACCACAATTCCATAATTCACCCAGAATTTCCACACCTAGAGGTTTGTATCATAGAAGCACTCACACAATTCCAGCACGCTGAAAGGAAGAAGGAAGGAAGGAAGGCTGGAGGGAGGCCGGCCTGCATGAATGCAGGTCCAAACGGGGGCCGAGAGCTTGGCTGATACAGGCAGTGGCACTTCTGGAGAGCAGGTACATTCCTGCAGCAGGAAGATGCTCTAACCAGGAAGGAGTGTGGCTGGGGACCTTCAGAAGCTTCCAGACTGCAGCTTTCCTGGAGGTTCACTACAGTGGCAAGGCTAACCTGGGGCCCTGAAGTGGGAGCAGCCTGGCACCTTACCCATGCAATTCTGCCACCAGCCACAGGACTGCAGTAGCTCTCCAGCGCCTTGTTATGGCCTTGGCAGTTGTGCAATGTGGACACTGCAGGATAACCCTGGGTAGGCACCTGCCCTCAGCACACCCATACTGCAAGCGCACCCCACTAGCAGTCCACCCACTAATATACCTAACACAGCCAGGCCCTGTGCCCTGATTGGAGGTGCTCGGTGGTACAATCTACCCAATTTGCTAGTTTTAGAATTGGGCAAGCAAAGGGGAAAGGCTACAGTTGGATCCAATTAAGGCTGAACACTATTTTCTGAACGTGAACCACCAGACTTTCTATTTCTCCGGACGGTACACAGCACTACTTGCAGATTAGACCTCAATAACGATGTTCACTCTTGGTCACTTTGACGGCTACAAAGAGCAATGAAGGATATGTAGAATATACAGAAGGGCATGGAGTAAAGATGAAACCCCCAATCCCTTGGAATCGACCTCCAGAGACCACCACTGTGACTGCTTGCAGGAGCTATGTTCACATAGGGGTCTGATGTTCTTACCGCCTGCAGATAGGGAGCCTCTATCTCCAGGCAGCCTCCCTGCTGGGTTGTCCAGCCTCCAGCTGCGCCTGCGCCCAGCTCCCCAGGACCCCCAACTGATAGGGAAAATGGAAAATGCCCAAAATAATGGCCTGAGAAAAGGGGAGTAAAAAGGAAAGCCATGCACTGACAGCTTTCAGAAAGCAGATGTTTTCCTGGCGCTAACTGCAGGCAGGAAGGAGGGGTCTCATCACACCAGGCGACAGCCTCTGAGGGACACTGACCACCCTCGGAGCGAATCCTTTCCAGATGTGGAGCACAGACCCCTGACCTCAGAGCTCAAACTCCTAAGCACTCCAACTGACTCCTCCATGATTGATAGAAGGAAGCCCAAATTCCTGGGTGCCCAAGAAAACTGACATGCCCCCTTGGCCACCGCCCAGGATGACCCATACAAGCCCAGGCCCTTCCTTCGTTCAGAGGCTCATTTTCCACTAGGAAAGTGGGTCCGTTCCCGTAGGTGGAACCCTGTCCTGAACAATGGCCAAAACGATCCGTGGCGTCTGCGTCCGGCCTGGCCTCCTGGTTCTAACACCGACCCAAGCACTGAGACCGCGCCGCGAGGGGCCGAAAGCCACGCCCACGCGCACCGGAAGAAAGGTCGTCCCCTTGGCGACTGCGCGGCCGCGCTTCCGGGCTCCGGCTCGGAGACGGAAGTCCCGCCCCGTCGGTCTCCCGCGAGGCCTAGCGAAGCACGACGTAGCCGGAAGCTGCTGGCGGCCGGTGGGCGACCAGCGCGGCCGTGCGGCACAGCGGCCCGGCGCGACCCCGGGGGACCCCGGCCCGATCCCGGTCCTGCCCGCCTCACCAGGTAAACGCGCAGCTGTGCGCCCGGGGCCCGCCCCGCCGTGCTTCCCACATCCGGACCCGGACCCGCCCCCCGGAGCGCCCTCTTCCCCAGCTCCGCCCTGCCGCCGGGCCCGGCGCAGACCCCGGGGCTCCGCGAGCCCTTTCGCGCGCCCTCCAGCATCGGCCTCAGGAAGGCCAGCCTCCCAGCCTCCGCCTGCTTTACCATTTTTCTCAGTTTCTGACGTGTACACTGCGTGGGGGCTGGAGGGAAAGACGCAAGGACTGGCCCTGAAGCCTGGCTGGGTCTCCCTGGGTCTGGAGCAACTGCGTGGCTTAACCACAGGCCACCGATTCTGGGAAATCACTGCGTCTGCGGGCCCGATATGCCTGCAGGGCCTTTGACAGCGCCCAACGGGACCCTGACAGAACTGGGGCGGGGGTGTTTCTGGGACGTATCCCTGCCGAGGTCAGGGCAGCAGTACATGCGCTTTACCAAGAAGGGCTGTTACTCTTAACCTGTATTCTTAGGGTGCCTCTGACCTAGGCTGTACCATCTGTCTCCTCCATCTCTCAGGATGGCTCCACTGAGAAAGATTCCTGTCTCCTTGTCACCCATTCCACAGCCTTGAGACTAAGCAATGTCTTTACCTGTGTGTCTCTTTTGGTCTCAGAGGATAAGGGTGCCTCAATTCAAGGCTTGAATGTCCTGGCAAGTGGCTTAGAGGACTCAGAAAGTGTCTTTATTTACCTGAGCGTTTACTGAAGTTAGTCCACTTAGAGACAGAGGGACTTTTTTTTATCATTTTAGTTTCATATGTTAAGACTTGGACTGTTTTTCAACATAAACCATGAGCATGCTTTTGAAAGTAGGAGGTATTTGTTTCCATTTATTAAAGTAAGCATTTCAGTTAGAGAAATAAGGCCTTCATACCCACAACTGGTCATGTCTCTACCTTCTCTCTCTGATAGTCCTACGAATGCCCTTCTTCCTAAGTTAGAAATTTGAAGCAGCCTCACCAGTCCTGACTTTGGTTTGCCTCTGTTGAGCAAGTCAAGAGCCCCTGAGGGCCCACAGTGCAGTCAGTGGAAAGAGGCAGGTTGAGAGCACATCTGTGTGGGTCTGCAAATCTGTTGCCCCTGTACACCAGCCCCACGTGGAGCCTGCATGTGATCATTAGAAGATTATGTCCAAAGGGCTTTACAGCTGAAACCCACCAGGGGGTCTCTCCAGATGTGGGTTTCCCTGTGTCTGCCTCAGTGCTGCGGATGAGTCCGTGCTTAGCATGATGAATGCATTTAGGCACTCACTTTACAACCACCCTGGCACAGAATTCTGAGTGGGAGGGAGCCTAGGGTGAACTTTTGGTTTCACTTCTATCAATTATAGAAAACAGTATTTTCTAACTTCAAATTGCTTAAGAGTGGTCCTCATGAGTATTCGGAAGCAAGAGCTGATCCACTCAGAGGGTGGTGTTTTGAGGCAGAATCCCCTCCATGAAGGCCTTACTTCTGCAAACTTGATATTAAAATGAAGTATGGAACAGGGGTCATACCAGTTGCTGCTTTTTTTAAGCTGTATCTCACAATAAACCGTTAATAGGAATACCAGTCCAAGCTGACACTTTCAGTGCAGCGGCAGAGTGGGAAATAGATGGCACTGAAAATGTCAGCTGTGAGCCTGTGTGTGGCCTCTGTCATATACAGCGTGCCCTGTGTTTTCCACATGTGGTGTCCTGCGAGTTAGAGGGAGCAGCACAGGTTCGTTTGAGAGGTGGGTGAGAGTGATGGCACTCTCAGTTGAGGCTGGCAGGGAGAGAAGGCCTGAGGCCCAGGTCTTGCCTCCAGGCCTCCTATTTCTGGCGTGTGCAGGACCAGTGGGGTAATTTGCACCTCGTGCTGTGGTTGGCACCACTGCCTTCCTCCAGCTTTGGTATTCCTGGTCATGAGTTAAATGGGCCACCAATTGAAGTTGAACTTTGCTAAAGCTAGTAGATTTGTAAAGAAAGAAGTAGCCTTTCTCTTCAGCCTGAACCTTACTACTGTCCCCATCAGTGTCCCTGTGAGTCATGTGA